TGTCAGCTGCTTTGCTGCATGGCTGTGCAAGTCCAGAACCAGCAGTCATGGCTGGAGGAACAACAGGAGCATCTGGGCACAGCCCTGGAGACAGCAGCGAGGCAGCATGAAAACAAGAGGAATCAAACAGCAAAAACAGGAGGTGCTGTCATCTTAATAAAAGGATGAACCTGCTGGTCACAGGAGCCAGAGCAGCTGTGCCTGTGAGCCAGCTGTGCCCACCAACCTGGACATGCCTGTGGACAGAGCACATCCCCAAGCCAATGCCATGGGCATGGGAAGAGGGAAGGGAAGGGGGAGGCCCACCCAGGCATCACACCAGTTCAACTGCAGGCAAAGAAGCCACCTGGATACTGGGAAACAGTCACATACACGGGTGACACAGCCTTTGCTACTGCTGCACATGATGCTGGGCTCTAGTGCTTGCTCCTCCTTAGGAGACAAGGAGCAAAGAGCCCTGGGTTTATAAATTATTCTCACTGAAAACCAGCAAGATTGGAATTTTGTGGCCATTTGTTGCTAGCTCTCAACAGAAGAGCAGCCAGCACTTCCTGCATTACGTGGGGAGCTGGAGAAACACACTGCCCTCTCAAAGTCTCTGAGAACCAAGAACTGGGGAGGGTCCTCGCTCTCTGCAGGTGACAACACCTCCATGGTCAGAAAGAACAAATGAGGGGGAAGCCAGCTCTGAAAAGGGCAGTGGGGGACTTGCAGGCCAGTCAAAGGAGAAGAGAAAGCACACTGGAGTCGGAACAAGCCATGGTGAAAACAATCCCAAACTTAATTCACTTGGATAGGACATCACATCGTGCTTAGAAGAATTAGCCCTTTATCTTTGCAGACACAAGAAGCAAGAACTTGTTCTGCCATTGTGCAGTCACTGATTCCTTCTTTCTTTGTTTGTTTTTGTTTGTTTTTTGTTTTTGAAGAGTGAGGAAAAACGGCGTCGTTACCGCTCACCATGGAAACCTCTGCTGTGGACAAGGAATGGCCGACATGTCCTCGGGATGTCACCCTGCAGCAGGTGGCCAAAAAGACACCAACCCTGTACCCATGGCAATGTGGATGCAGTCCTGCCCCACTGTGGACCAGCTGGAAGCCAGGCTCCCTGGCAGGGTTATCAGTGACCCTCCGGTTCCCCCGTGCAGGAATCCTTGCCTGGGTGCTGCCCCAAAACACAGATCATCAAAGGGAGTGGAGCTGCTCTCTTGGAGAGAAGCGGTTCCAACTGGAGGGCTGCAGTTGTCCGTGGCCAAGCTTTCCCATTGTTATTTTACAGTCGCTTGATGTTCTGAAAGATATTTAGAAAAATGACTTTAACTGTCCTGTGCCAAACTGGGTGAGGGTGAAAAAAAATGAAATTTGGCAGGGATGTTATTCATTCAGCATGTAGCTTGGATGACGTCCAGTGACTAACACAGGAGTTTTAACTGATCTGGGAGACTAAAAACCATTCACAAATAATTTGATTTAGGGTCACTGTGATTTCTTTTTATAAATAATTTTCATTGAGAAGTATTTTTTTAATTAGGATCGACAGATCCTAATAGCGACGCTATTGTGTGCACCGCTCATCGTTCCCATCTTCCTAAATGACTTTCACATGTTGTGTGCTGGTTTCTTGTTTGCTGCACACGATGGGGCTTGTTCACAGGGTAAGCAATGCCCCACAGCAGTGGACAAGCCATGCTGAACTCCTCTCTCCAAAGGCAGGCTCCAAGGAGGACCCAGATGGAAAGCAAAGGGAGCTTTCACCATCCTGTTACAGGTTCCTGTTCACGGGCTGCTCTGAGCCTTCACCCAGCCCCAGACATCCCCCAGTGGCTGTAAAACCCGTCTGAGTGCTCTGCATCTGAGAGATGGCAACAGCAGCTTGGCTTTGGTGCTTCAGTGCTCCAACTCCCATCACAGCACAGGAAGTTCTCTGAACTTTCCTTTTCCCCTTTTTCCTGGTGGAAAGAGTTCTTGCTGGACAAAAACAGCACCAAGGGAAATATCTGACACAACTTGGAAAAAAGTCTAAACTCAGTCACCTCCTAACCCAGCAGATCACCCAACAGCCTGAGCAGACCTGCAGGAGAATTCAGCCAGCGGGTGAGAGAAGAACGACTCGGTGACTCAAACGAATCTTGCTTGGCAATATCCCCCGACTGTGACAGCCTTTTCCTTGACTTGCACAATAACAATTGCAGCCCAGCCACTTCAGCTACTAATCTTATCTCTTGTTTGAATGGCTCTTAGCTTGCCTCCTGTTGATTATAAATGTTTGTACAAGTCCTTGGAGTCAGCGGAGTTGTTGTTTCATAGCTGGATTACAGGCTGGGGCTCCAAACTTTGAGATGCTCACACTAATGATCAGATATGTTCTTAAAAGCCCACTGAATTGGGTTTCAAAACAAAAGGCCCATTGATCTTAAGCCTGAAATCCCAGCCACAACTCTGAAAATCTTTTCCCTTATCTTTCCAAAGAACTGAAACTGGTGTGGAAAATGACTACAATAGTCAAAGAAAGGAGGACTATATTATGAGAGGAAGCTACCTGAATTTGGTCTCATTTAGGCTATCAGAACAGGGCTGAAGGGGGTGTAATTGCTACTGAGAGACACATGGAAGGAGAGAAGCTGTTAGAAAATCTTGTGAAATCTCCAAACTGAGAGTTGTGGGACTGGAGATGAAAAGATTTCTGATTTTCAGAGCAAAGAGGTCTGGGATGGGTTTCAGCAGAAGCCACAGAGGCAGCACAGTGTGCAGGCTGATAACCACATGGGAGCCCCTGATAGCAGCCTGTGACCAGGAGCTCCCTGCAAGATCCCAGTCCAAACCTGGACAATGTCTGGAGGGAATCCCCTGCCTCCTGCACTGATCCATCACCCTGGTCTATCCTGTTTTGCACCTTGCCTCATTCAGCAGCCATCCCAAGCTTGCCTTGGCCACATGATCTTGTTTTAGCATTGGGCAGACCAATTTAAGCTCCTGTGGGTCCCCAGGGTGGGCTGCTGTGGTAGACCTCCCATTGAAAATATTGTCTTTTGGGAAGAAAAACATTTTTCCTTTGTTTTGTTTACTTCAATAAGCAAATGCCTTATTCAAGTCAAATTCAGGCAGAAAATCAGAGCATTAGGTGGTGGCTGTGACTTCCAACACCGAAAGGTGCTGGGCAAGCAGAATCCCACAAAACATCATCGCCAAAGCACCAACACTGGCAGGCTGTTCCAGGATTGTTGGTGTCCACTTGGACCACAGCCAATCCTGAAAAGGCACCACTGGCCTGTGCTGGGGAGCAAAAATAACCTCTGTGCTGGCCAGCATCCTCAGCACCAGCGATTTTCACTGCACCCCAGTCAGACAGACTGGCCGCAAGGGCACAAACACAACTCCCCATGCAGTTCCCAGTTGTGCCACATGGATAAAGCGTGGCTCATCCATAAGGACACCTGCTGGTGACAGCAACAGGCCGCGGCTTCGGCTGTTTGATGTCATTTGACTTGAGGATAAAAAGAGCAAATCAAGAGAGAGGGGCTGCCAAAGCACCCGCCTGCAGCCTGCCATGGGGATGGCAGCGTGAGGATGCCAAGCTGGACACGCAGGAAACACCCAGGACAGTTCAGGCAGGCTGAAAACCAAACCCAGCATCCACGGAGAGCACAGCACATCCCCAGCACTCAGGGCTTTCCGACAGCTGGCAAGCTACAGCTCGGCCAGTGCTGAAATATTGTTTCTGTGGTAAAAGGAAACTGTTTCTCTGTGTATTTTTTTTTAATTAACCATGGAGTCGCCATTACCACGGCTTTAACCACAGCCATGGGGCAGGCTGGGGTTCCTCCTGCGATATCTGAGCATCCTTTAACGCAACAAGATGGCCCAGCAGTTCACTCCCTGTCTCCTCGAGAAATCCATTTGTGTGCCAAGCACATTCCACAGGCCACCCCAAAATTCACCTCGTAGCACCACTCTTTGTACAACATTTGCAGGGGGTTTGGGATGCTAGAGGTACATTCATGCCTCCCCCAGAAGTCAGCAGTCCTGGAAGCAGCAGGCAGGGAACAGGCCAATCCTACCAGTTTGCTTCCTGGCCTGCAGCATCAGGAGAAAACATCCTTACTTGGGCTGGAGCTGGTTTAAAATTGAGGGTTTGGAAACAAGGACTAGAAGCTAAAGCATCTCCTCCAAAACCCACCCCTAGACCTCAAAAACCCACCCCCAAACCTCCAAAATCCACCTCCAAGCCTCCCAAATCCCACCTCCAAGCCCCACCTCCAAACCCCCGCTGCGGGGGGACGCCCGATCCCCCCGCTCCGCATCCCCGCGGCGCTCCCGAGTCTCCGAGCCCCGCGCCACGCCACAGGCCGATTAATTCACTCCATCACCAACCCCGAATAAACACACATCACATCCCATCCCATCCCATCCCGCCCGGGCACCCCGGGCATCCCAGCCGGGAGGAGGGCCCGCTGCTCGGCGCTCTCCCGTACGCTTCGCCGCGGGGAGCACGAACCCGGCGGCTCTCCCGGGCCCCGCGGGCTGTCCCCGGGGAGCAGGAGCGCGGGTTCGGCGGGCCCAGCGGCGGTGCCAGCGGCGGGGCCGGGCGGTGCCGGTGCCGGTGCCGCCCGGAGCGGGCTCGGCCGCGGCGCCGCCGGTGCGCGGGGGGAGCGCGCAGCTGCAGTACCCGCGGCGGCCGCTCGGCGGCGCGGCACTGCCGCCGTGCTCGCCGGGGCGGCCGGCGGCGGGGGCCGCTCTCTGCCGCCTTCCCGCGCCCTCTCCTCGCTCCGGCAGATCTCGCGAGAGCGCGGCCGGCTGGTGGCCGCGGGGGCTGTTGCAGCAGCGGCGGCGGCGGCGGCGGCGGGAGGAGGAGGAGGCGGCGGCGGCGGCGGCGGCGGCCGGGGGCGGCCGAGGAGGCGGCGGCGGCGGAGGAGGCGGCGGCGGCGCGGGGGCGGCCGCGCCGGGGCGAGCAGCGGCGGGCGAGGCCCGAGCGGCGGCGGCGGCGGAGCGGCGGCGGCATCATGGCGGACAGAGACAGCGGCAGCGAGCAGGGCGGCGGCGGCGGGGGCGCGGCGGGCGCCGGGGGGCCGGGCGCGGGCGGCGGCGGCCCGGGCGGCGGCGGCGGCGGCGGCGGGGGCCCGGGCGGCGGGCTGCAGCACGAGACGCAGGAGCTGGCCTCCAAGCGGGTGGACATCCAGAACAAGCGCTTCTACCTGGACGTGAAGCAGAACGCCAAGGGCCGCTTCCTCAAGATCGCCGAGGTGGGCGCGGGCGGCAACAAGAGCCGCCTGACCCTCTCCATGTCGGTGGCCGTCGAGTTCCGCGACTACCTGGGCGACTTCATCGAGCACTACGCGCAGCTGGGGCCCAGCCAGCCCCCCGAGCTGGCGCAGGCGGCCGACGAGCCCCGGCGGGCGCTGAAGAGCGAGTTCCTGGTGCGGGAGAACCGCAAGTACTACATGGATCTGAAGGAGAACCAGCGCGGGCGCTTCCTGCGCGTCCGCCAGACCGTGAACCGCGGCCCGGGGCTGGGCTCCACGCAGGGCCAGACCATCGCGCTGCCCGCGCAGGGCCTCATCGAGTTCCGCGACGCCCTGGCCAAGCTCATCGACGACTACGGCGTGGAGGAGGAGCCGGCCGAGCTGCCCGAGGGCACCTCCTTGACTGTGGACAACAAGCGTTTCTTCTTCGACGTGGGTTCCAACAAGTACGGCGTGTTCATGCGGGTGAGCGAGGTGAAGCCCACCTACCGCAACTCCATCACCGTCCCCTACAAGGTCTGGGCCAAGTTCGGCCACACCTTCTGCAAGTACTCGGACGAGATGAAGAAGATCCAGGAGAAGCAGCGGGACAAGCGCGCCGCCGCCGCCGCCGCCCCCGCCGTGGGCGCCGAGCCGCCCCCCGAGGCCGAGGCGGCCGCCGCCGGGCCGCCCGGCGCGCTGCTGCAGGCCGAGGAGCCCGAGGAGGACTGACCGCCCGCCCCCCGGGACGCGGACTGGCCCCGCCGCCGGCGGGAGGGCGGGCGGGCGGCGGGGCGCGGGGGCGGCGGCCCGGAGCCCCCCCTCCGCCCGGAGCCCCCCCGGCCGCGCCGCCCGCCCGGCGCCCCCCCCGCCGCCCGGCAGCAGCAGCGCCTCAGACCCGCCACCCATCGCTGGATGTTCCTCCACTTTACCCACCGTATCAAACAGTAAGCAGCTGCTAAAAAAAAAAAAAAACAAAACAAAACAAAACAGAAAAAAAAAAAAAAACAAAACACACAAAAAAAAAAAGAGTCAAAAAAAAAAGTAATAACATTATATATGAACTGTGTTTCCTACTTGATTAAAAATATAAAGAACTGAGTGTTTATTTCCCTAATTAACCGAGAACTTTTGTACACGTTTAAGCTATTATTATTAAAAGTGTTTGCAAAAATGGTCAAGATTATAATATTGCTGAATTATATAAAAAAAGTCCTTTTCATGTTGAGCTAACATTTGACTTTAGCACAAAAAAAAAAGAGATATTTTAGAACACGTAAAATAATATTTTTAGTTTTTTCTTCTCATTTTGTTACCAAATTTCGAACCTTACATGGAGGTTACTATAGTATATTTGACACCCTATATACCTGTGATTAGAGATGTGTATATATATATGAGGGCTAGGCATGCTGTGTGTCTGAGCTTTGTCTAAATGTTATGCAGAAGTTTGTAGAGTTAAAAGGTACGTAGGTTTAATTCATGCAAGGTAAACAATAAGTGCTCTCTTTTATACAATATGCATTGCATCTGGACCTTAAACATATAAAAATGGTCAGTGAAACTTCTGTGAACATGAAGAAAAATTATTAAAAAAGGCATTTAAATGAAATTTGCTAACTTGTGATTTTTACGTTTGAACCAAAGTTATTCAAATAGTAAAAAAAAAAAAAAAGAAAAGAGGAAAAGAAAAAAAAAAAGAGAGAGAGAGAGAGAAAAAAAAAACGAAAAGTAAAGAATTTCCTCCCATAATATTTTTTTTCTGCACCTGTTTGGTTTACAACTGAGTAGGCGTATTGTCATTATTGTGTATATGAGATGTACTTGTATTGTTCATAATATATTTTTTTTATTCTGTGTACTTAAAAGTACTTAACCTGACGTGCAGCGGTTTCCAGTCCACCTGTTTTTGGACAGCAGGTAGCGAGTCTTTCCGTGTGGCCACTGGCACTAGCACTATCTCCCGAGCTCGGGCGAGGTCCGCAGCGATGCTTTGATCCCTGTTCACTCCCGTAGGCCTGTTAGGAAGCAGTGCAGCGAGGGCAGCGTGATCCCACTGAGCCATGGGGGTCGGAGTTTGGTTGGACAGTGAAAGCCAAGCCGGTGTGTGTGTCCGTCATGGATTTCCATGTAGCTGTGGTGCTAGTTCTTATTACTGGCTACATACCTGGCCAGCCTGGCCGTGCCCTGCCCTCCCCGTCCCAGCTCCCGCCGGGCGCGGGCTCTGCTCCAAGCCCAGGCTAGGGAAACACAGATTTGCCAGAACACTAATCTGTCCAGGTGTGTTCTCCAAATTGTAATAATAAGAAGAATAATAATAGACTTTTGCAGGTTGTCTTCGTTGTTTTTCAGTTATGTTTTTTTTTTCTTAAAAAAAAAAAAAAGTTGGTGTGCTTTTAATTGACTAACTTCTTGCTGCTGTATAGTAAAATATTAATATATTTTTATCATTAAACTGCTGCATGACTATCATCATTGCGAGTGAAGAGAAAATGTTATAAAAAAAAAGATGCCTTAAACAGTGAAAACAAAACTTTATTTTTTGTTTTTTCTTTTCTTTTCTTTTCTTGGCTGGAATTCAGTAGAGAGCATTTCAGAGAAACTAGAATCTTGTTCCACTCGGAAGTTTTTTGGGAATGCAATCATTTTGCTGAATGGTCTTGGCTGAGTTAGGGGTCAGGTAGATCTGAGCTGCTCCTGTGTGAGCAGGAGCTGCCAGCGCTTCTTTACCGAGGGGCAAGGATGGAGTTTCTGAAGGGTGGGGAGAAAACAAAAAAAAAGCTTGTTTTAAAGAATTTGATTTCCTGCTGTCATTTTATTCCCAGTTGAAATTATAGTTCCCTTTTTCTTCTTGGGGTTTTTATTTTGTTGGTTTGTTTTTTGGGGTTTTCTTTTGAGATGTACTGTAAGTGTCAAAACAAGCTGTTTCCATTGTACCATGCATTATTGCCCTTGAAAGAAGTTTGCTGTTAGTGTTCACAGAAAGTTAAACACGAGCCGCTGGTAGCGAGGTGTTTCTGTTTCTTTTTAAACAATCACTGGAAATGTTTAAAATTGCTTTAATGTGCACTTTTCCTATTTCCCAGTAGTGAAATAAGCTTTTCAGAGTGCGTAATGTGACATTTGAAATGGTTCTCAATTGCATGTAAACATGTGTCTGATAACCTGCTTCTGAATCGGAGGCTCTGGATGGGCAGTTCCAGCGATTATTGTACTTCAACTGTGATGTGTCGGGACTGCACTCTCCATGCTGCTAGACGTAGTTAGGAATTTAATTGCTTTGGTGTTATTTTTTTGCTACTTGATTGATTGTCTCGGTCCTGCTGTTCGCTGCCCTCCCCAAAGTTGTCGCGCTGCCGACGGACGCGCTCCGGCGCCCGTAGCTCCAACGCCGCCGCGGTGCGTTCCCAGCAATAAGTGCCGGGAGGCGAGGAGAGCACGGCGGAGTGTCCTTCCGTCCCTGCCGGCTCCTGGCAGCATCGCTAACGAGGCAGGCTCCTCCCGTGGTCTTCCTCGCCCGCGCCGCCCGGATCCTGCCCAGGATCCGGCTGACTGCAGGAGCGCACGGGCCGCGCGGGTCCGGTCAAAGCAGTTCAGCCTGGGACAGCCCGCGGGCAGTTCTGTGAACAGTGGCCGAGAACTTGTGGTCAGTTTTTGTCTCGTTTTGGGTTTCTTCTGCGTGTTTCCTTGGGTGTTTTTTTTTTTTGTTTTGTTTTGGTTTTTTCTTCTTTTAACGCACGTTCTGTATGTTCAAGGACTTGATGAATGATGATAACGAAAGACTAAAATGACTGTAAAGATTCGTGGGATTTTGCTCCTCGTTGTTTTAGTTTTCATCGGATTTCTTTTTTTGCTTTTTTTGTTTTAATTTTTGTTTTCCCGGAGGTGCTCGGTACTTTACCAAGGCTCTAATATTTCAGTATTTAAAACAAAGTACAGAAAACCCTGTTTAATGTTAGAAGAAGAAAGGTATATTTGACCATATGTGTTGTTTTAAAAAAAGACAGTATGCTCAAATGTGCCAAGATACCTAATTCCTGAGAAGTATGCCTTATATTTTCCTTGATGATATGCTTTTAAATGTCTTGTAGAATAGGTCCAAGAGCATGATAAAAGCTACTTTATAATGACTACGTGCAAGAAAACTTGAAATTCATTGCAATACTGACATTATTTTATTTTTAAGTTAAAGGGACACTGTCAAGTAATTTACCATTGAAATACAACCACCTTTTAAGTGGTTTTATGCTAACGGGGAAATATCCTCCGAATTCAAATTCTATTTTTTTTTTTTTTGTTAAAATGAAAACAAAAAAATGAAATTGCTCTGTCTTTGAGAATTTAAATAAAAAACAAAAAAAGAAACAGCACGAGCCGCTGTTGATTCCTGCCTCTTCTTTGCGGTCCCGCTTACGATGCTGCGGCGGGAGCAGCCAGCAGCTTCCCGGGAGCCGGGGGGCCCGGCCGGACCCTGCGGGGATGCCCCGAGCCCCGGTACCGGCAGCCCCGGGCTGGGCCGGGCGGGATCGGCGGGCGAGCAGGAGCCCGGCCGGCCGCGGCGACCGGGAGCGCTCCGAGCTCGCAGCCGGGCGCGCCCGTACGCGGAGGGCTTTTCGTTTTTTGAAAATTCAATTGGAAAGAAAAAAAGGAAAGAAATACTTGACAGTGTCACTTTGCGCGTATCCCTCGCAGGGGTTACAATGCGCTGGGCGTAGCGCTGCCGGGAGAGCGGCTCCCGACCCGTCCCGGGGCTGGGGGAAGCGCAGAGGGGGCAGCGGGCGGGCGCAGAGCCCACCCCGTGAGCCAGGCAGAGCTGCTGCCGGGGATTTAACCCCTGCTCAGAGCCGACCGGTAACTTCTTTCTTTTCGTTTAGTTTTGGGTTGTTTTTTTTTTTTTTTGGGAGCAATTACTTTGTTGCCTTTAAAAATAGCACTGTAACCACCTTTTTTTATGATTAGCTGTAGTGTAACCTTTGTCCCTTCAAACTATGCAAGCTATGAAATGTAAATTAGGGATCAGTTAAAGATAGTTGATTATATTCAATCAGATGACATTCATGCACTAACTGGAGTATATACAGATAAAGCTATTAGAGTGACTTGTATGCTAACAGCAAGATATAACATACCTACCTATTCTAAAAAAATGACTATTAATATTGTATAACAGGACTGTGGGGGTTGGGAGGGAATGTTATCTCTTATCTTCTTAAAAGGGGATTTAAGATTTTTATAACTGTTTTTTCCATCAAACTTTAATATTTTTGTCAAATTTTTAGGTATTTAATTTGTAAAATAGATTTTACTTTGTACTGGCGTACAGAAAATAGGGGTTGATTTAAACTTTTTTGAAGCCAAGTGATCAAGTACATTTGTAATAAAAAGTCAATGGATCTATATCAGTCGTACTCACTGTTTTCATTTCTTGTACGTTCTAATGCAGTGGCGCTCTGTGTCTCCCAAGGAAAAAGAAAAAATTGGGGAGGGGGGTGGAAGGAGAAGGCAAAAATGTCAGCATTGATGCTGCCAATTGATGCAACTTTGCGTGCACAAGTGGCCCCTGGTCAGTGGAGATTTGGTAGATATGCATTTTTCCTAAAACCACGGTGCACTTTTTCCAGAAAGGTTTATGCAAACCTGACGTTTTTGGCATGTCCTCACTCCACGCTTCCACCTTGGCGCCCGTAAACTCCAAAGTCGCCCTTTGGGAAGCGCCTTTCCCTGGCACTTCAGAAAAAGCAAAACCAACCAAAGCAAAACTCTGATTTCTTCTAAAGTGGTGAACTACAGCACATGATGTTTTTGCACCCTCACACGCTGTCGCCCTTCCTCCAAGGTCTGCCACTTGCTTTTCTCTAAGTTCAACAGGTCAAAGGGTTTTTTGTTTGATTTTTTTTAAGTCAAATTGCCAAGTGTTTTGGATCGAAGACTTCAGCAGATCCACCGA